CCAGAACACGCGCGTGTACAACGAACAGAGCAAATAAACCCGCTGATGCACAACGCACGCGATTATTTTTTCCGCCTGAAGGCCACAGCGACTACCTGGAGCTCTGTTTCCTTCGCTGCCGCCGAAAAGCGAAAGCCTTTAAGAATCAACGGGCCCTGTCAACACAATCGTTTCTCCAGACCCTCCCTTTGAACCACCCTCGTCTGATGCACAGCGGAGCAGCAGATAAGTGCAAATAGGGACACCTGTATAACACACGCCTGCCAAAATTTGCAAGCTCCCCCTTTTCCAAAGAGCTTCTGGCCAACCAAGGTTTCCAAAGAGCTCCTGGCCAGCCCGGGTTTGCATTGATAGGGTGAACGCTACGCTAAAAAACACCACCACATGTTTACAATAACCGCCGAACGAAGAAACTTGCGAACGATGAGATAAACCACTCTGGTTAAACACCTCCTGGCACCACGGAACGAAACCCGAACGCCCGTGAGAAGCAACGGACCCTGTGACCGCAATCGTTTGTCTAAACCTTCTCTGCAGCCTTCGAATCTCCTTCCTCGGATGCACAGCGAATACATAATAATGCACAGCGAACACCTGAATAACAAGTGCCTGACCTAATTTTGACAACCTCCCCCGTTTCACAAGAACTTTCGGCCACCCCTGGTTTTCAGTTTAGGGCAGTAACCGTTGATCGGGCGAACGATACGCCAAAGAACAACCCATCACATGATTACAAGTAGTGCGCGCAGGAAGACGAGTGGCAAAGATGCGATGCCCTTTCGTGCCAGAACATACGCGTCAAACAAATTCTTCGGAGATGCTGAGCAAGACGCAATCGGGGCCGCTGATAGTGCCACTCAACCAGAACACGCGCGCTTACAAGAAACAATACGACGAATCAAAACCGCTGCGCCAACCAACTCGTTGATGCACAACAAACGCGGTCGGTCCTTCCGCCTCAAGCCCACAGCGACCACCTGGAGCCCTGATCTCGTCGCTGCCGCCGAAAAGCGAAAACCCATGAGAAACAGCGGGCCTTGTCAACACAATCGTTTCTCCATGTGCCCCTTTGCATCCCCCTCTTCCGATGCGCAGCGGAGCTGAAGATAAATGCAAAGCGAACGCCCGAATAGCAAACGCCCGCCTGTATTTCGAACACTTGCCCTTTGCCAAGCGAGCATGAGCCGCCCCAGGTTTTGACTGTAGGGCAGGAGCCCGAGGCGGCAACTGCGCCAAAGAGCAACCGACCACACGATTACAACTAACGCGCATAAAAAGAATGAGCGGCAAGGATGCGAGCCCGTTTGGCGCCCGCCCCTCTTTCCATCGGCGGTGGACAGACCTCCCTTTAGTAAACCTCCTCTTCGTGAAAACGGCCTGGGACCGAAACCGACGGATCTGGATCCGCAAAAATGACGGCCGCGACGCCCTCTCGCGAACCAAAAACGGCCAATTCCTTAATCGACGTGTGAGGGTAGGAAGTCTATCCACCTCCGATTCCGTCCGTCCTCCCCGTGGCTGCGATAGCACCCGCCGGAATATGCACGCACGACACCCAGTTCGCTTTTTCATAAGAAGCCCGCGAAACGGCCACGCGTCCGCATGCCCGGAACGACTTTCGGAACAAACCCGGGCGGGCCGCTGCCCGGATGTGGAAAACTCAAGCCGCATGCGCCCCGCCCGTGGTCTCCCACGGCTTGCTTTTCTGAAGCAAGCTGCTTCAATCATCTCACGCCCGCAACCGCGCCTCGCACACACACACACGCGCACGCAAGTTGCGAGGTCACTTTTTCGAGGGGGCGAAACTACTCTTTCGGGCGAGCGAGGACCTTTTCTTTGTCGAGCGAGGAAGCTTCTGGACGCTCAGGTGGGAAATTCCTCCGGCGAAGCCCCCACCACACCGAGACGGTGGAAACCGTTGATGAAGCCCCGATCTCGTCGCTGCTGCCGACAATCCGACGCCCATCAGGAGCAACGTGGTTGCGTGATCATCGACCTGGGATGGAAAAAACACAAGTGGCCATGTTGGAAAATCCTTAACAATTCTTCGTCGGCAAATTATTAATTTTGGGCGGCGCGCCCATCGCCGAGCGGGGGCGGGGCGGGACACATAGGGGAACGGAAGAACGAAGGG